TTCCCACCATATAAATATGGACATCGCGATTCCGTATCATAAACATACTTGTAATCAGATGATTCTGTTAGATTACATATCTATAAATTGTTTCGGTTGAATGTTGTGGCATGAACTGACAATGCGCAATGCTGATAAGGATAATTATAATAAAGCTGGTGAATGCTCATCGGAAGCGATCAAAACAATGAACAGAGCGATAATTGCGCTGAGAACTAATGACAAAGGAGTTGAAATTCCAACAAAATTATTTTTATATGAGCGGTTCCAGAAAAAGAGTAACCGTTGTGAACTCGTAGCTATCACCATACTCGGATGGTCCACTGGCAGGTGCGTAAACGAAATGCAGGAGTTGATTCATGAGCGTAAATCCGCGACCGTATGTTGGCAAACCGAACACGGTTTTGTTGGCTAGCAATCCATGCGATAGCCAAAATCGCGTTGAATAGTCCTACGAAAAGCAACAAATTCATTGAACTGCTCGATAAATACTTCGAAATTCAAGAACCTCCCAAACATTCAGCACAATAATGAATCTCTGGGTGTCATTCGTCAACTTTTTTGCAAACCATATAATTCAAAAGTTTTCAGTCAATGAATTTTGCGGTGCGTTTCCTTCCCATCAAATTTGCCCCAACGCAACGCAATGTTCAATGCTCACTAACCGAATTCAGTCGTCCAACGATTCCGATTTCAACGTTCTTCTTGAAGAGTGGTGCGTTGAATGCAGTGAATGGTTGCCATTTTGAGTACATATGAAAATCGTAATTCATTATTTGCACATAATCCACATAACTGAAACGATGGGGGATTGTTGCGGATGCAAAAAAAATTCACGATATTACACGATATTTTATCCAAAATTCACTCGTATCTCAACGGATTACATGCCAACTCGAAACTATCTTGCAAGTGTACTCTCATTAGAGACTATCCATGATCATGGAATTTCCTGATCAAATTATTCGAGCGGCGCGGAAATGCTTCAGCCTTCCTACGATCCACAATGGTGATAAATAGAAAACTGATAATCACTTATCGTTTCAGGTGTGTGGATTAGAAAACTGACAGTAATAACAAGTAGAATTATATTTATTACCACAATAATAATAAGCTATTACTTGTTCAAACCGTCCACATCATAGGCCTTCTCTACAATTGTGTATGCCGCTGCAACGGCCACCGTGATCAGAATTTTTCGTTCACTCTTGTCGAATTCTTCTTTCAGTGCCTAGAGACAAATACATTTGGAAAATCAGATCTGATGCAAAGAAACAACCGAACTAAATGGAATAAAGATTCATGTAGTGAGTGGTGTATTCTTTGAAATTTCACGAGTNGCCTCTAATGACAAGTCTGGAACTGGCCTAAATTATGAATCAATTCCAACGAAACCTTCACTGACCACAAAAAATATCAACGAATTGTCGAAAGAAATCAAACGTGAATGGATGAATGAGAAATAGATTGGATCGCCATGCCTCACTCTGTTTTCATGGAAATAATGTTATTTTTAAGAAAAAGGGAGCTCGAATCAAATGAAGGCAAGAGAATAAATGTCATAGATAATCGCTAAATAGTTTGAACAATGGACAATCATCCACTTATTCATTCCTTTGATCAAAATCACCCTAACTACTCCGCAAAATAATTCCATTAACTGTGAAGATTTTGATGAAAGTAGATATGGAGTAACCTTAAGGAAATCGATAAATCCTTTTTTATCTGTCGGTTTTGCATCTGAACTCCAAACCGGAAATTCCCAATCGATATCGAAACCATCCACTGAATTGTCCTCTATGAACTCGGTGACTTTTGTGATCAACTGATTCGTCATGTTGGAACTTAGAACCTAAAATCTATCACTTAATCTTGGCTGATATCCTTGTAATATAATGAAAATCGATGATGTAATTGATAGCACTAACCGTATTTATCATCATTCTAATGCGAACAATGATATAAATGATCAAAACTCACCACTTTTGACATACATTTGTTGTTTGGTGTTAATGAGAATAATACTTCCGGATCCGCATTTTGCGATTTCTTCAATTTATTGATTTCGTCGAAAATTTCTGCAGAAGGCAGTATTACTTGACAGTTATCATCGAGCTTACACGATCCAATCAAAATGAAATGTGTACACAAGGTCAAGTCAATGTCCGCGACTTTTGGACGATCTTTCCTGCAACAGAGAAACTTCTTGAAATCAATATCGTTTCTCTTGAGATCGATGAAAATCCCTTTTGGTGTGAAACTATCAGAAGAAATATTCATCCGGAAAATTTTTGACTGAAATTTCTCAAATATTTATGAATAACTGCATCAAGGACACAGTGAATACTAATAGATTCTGATTAGTGCTCTGGCAAGATATCCCCGTGGAAGAGCATGAAATGAGCACACGATCAACAGAAAATCAGATTAGTTTTGGGATCCTCCGTTGAATGTAAACCGTTCGTGATGATGGACAAAATATCCGATAAAAGGTAACATTTTAATGAATATAATGCAAGATGATACAAGGCGATTCAAAATTTTTCATGAAAGCTAACTCAAAATAGCAAATGATAATATCCGGGGTTGGATTTGCAGCGGTGCTTGAGAATACTGACACCTCTGTTAACAGAATAATCGCGATTGCTATCGAATACATTCGAATGAGCTTTTCTGAAATGCTATCGATGAATGCAAAGGTAAAAATAATCACAGTCATATTATTGATAGGTAATGCATTCCGAATAAATGTGGCAAGAACAACTTAAATAATAGACATTTGGAATAGCAATGCAAACTTAATAATTAGATAATATGTTAAGAACAGCAACAGAAATAGCTGAAACGACTTGCTAGATCAAATCGAAATGATGTACTTCGAAAGAACATCAAAGCTCATCAGCCCAGTCGGATATAAGAACGGATGAGATTGAATAATAGCAAGGGCAATACATAGATAAGAATATATCCGTTAGAATGTTGATTAACAACAACTGTCCTTTTAATCAGCAAGTCTACTACATAGAACATTCTTCTCTCAGATTATCAGCCGACTCCGTTATCAATGTTCGCATCGCATTTCTTGTTTGAAGTCTAGTCCGGTTATTTAATCAGCACAAAAATTATGGGACGATTTTCGCAATATATTAATCTATGCGTTGAAAACTCTTCTATGTGGGAATTTCAGTACAGTGGAATAAAAGGCTTTTGGCAATGATCTCAATGGATTTTCGAAATATTTAAGGGAAATCTAATGAAAACGGCAGTGGGATTCATTGTAATCTGGCCACAAGGAATATAGGAGCATTTTTGTCGATTTCAAAAAACTTCCTCACATTGTCATGGAACTCATAAAGTAATCCAAATCCTGTCGATTATTACTGCATTCAATCGGGAGCTCGAGACTGATCTTTGATGCATCAGTGTTCATTTGCAGGGACATTCATTTCAAGCAACGACTCATTGAGATGGACAGATCAATATGG